ACCAAGAAGTTTGTATTGTAGGACAAGCCATGCTTCTGCTTCCACTCTAGTTTGTGAAATTCAACCTCCAGAAGCAAGAAGTTTAGCCATAGCCATGTCCCAGCCTAGAGGATGTCGTGGAACTTGCTTTGGTGGCCACACCCGGTTCAGGACTTAAACATGCAGTCTTGCTGTTACCTAGTTTGCCAGGAGTCTCTCCTGTGTACCAGTCTACAATGGCCTTAGATTCTTACAGCCATGCTAACCCAAATTAGGTGAGCTAAGTGTCATTGATGCTACCTAACCTTGGGGCATAATTTACACTTCAAAATCATCTTTGAAGAAATAAAAGACAATTTCATTTGCATGAAATAGTAAAATGTTGGTAGAGTACAAAGGAAATAGTTAAAATTTGTTTTAAACAAAGGACTATTTTATCTAGTATGTTAGCACTGTACCATTTTGAATGTAAATACTTAAACGTGTATTTGTATATTCTAGATGAGCTTGTGTGCTTTCTAAATATCTAGTGGCTACATTGAAATAAATAGAACTATAGAGTATAAAATTATAATAGCTGTTTATTACTCTCAAATTATTGCCAAACAGCTGATTCTAAAAAGTAAGCATGTCATTGTAAACTTTTAGAAAATACATTATATATAATTAGATGATGTTCATGTGTTAGAAGCCAAAGTAATTTAAATGAATTACTTTGAATAAAGTGTATTCCAAACTCTTGGCTGTTTTATTTTAATCACCAAATATTTACATGGCTACTTAAAGCCATTTCAAGGTACTTTTAACATTTCTCAATGAATTGTGGTGACGTCTGTTAGGGCCAAAATTCTCTGTATTAAATGGCTTGTGGAGCATCGTATTTATGGGTAAGGAATCATTTGAGATCTCTTGAGGACCAGAGTTGCAAGACTTAGAGTTGGGATGTATAACTAGATTTTTGCATCAACAGCCAAAGGGAGCCTTTTAGAACCCCAGGAGGCTGGATGCGCCTACTCCACATGGGTTCTTGGCACCCTCACCTCTTTGGGAATGCCCACGGAGGCAATATCACCTCTATTGGTTCCTGATCCCGACCTTCACCAGGGCAGATTGCCTGTCAGATTGAATTTACAGAATACAATCTTGGCTAGGGCTCACAATAGTAATCTATAGTGGATTCTATGGTTTGTAGGTGGTTACTGCAGAACATCAAGCTCCTACTACTGTGTCAGGCACCCCTAGTGAGAAAACTGCGGCCCCAAATCATAGCAAAAACTCATAGCTAGGATTCAGATTGGTTTCTGTCTATACGAACATGTCACTGAGACAAGTCACATTGAAGCTGGGTGCTAGTGGCTTACCTACCTACTCAGGAGGCTGAGATCTGCAGGGTCAAGTTTTGAGCCCCCTCCCTCCAAAAGAACTGCAGGACTCCATCCCCAATTAAGGAGTAAAAAACTAGCTGGAGGGCTGGGAAAGTGGCTCAGTGGTAGAGCACTTGCCTTGCATGCCTGAGGGCCTGGGTTCGATTCCTCAGCACCACATAAGCAAAAAGAAAAAAGCCGGAAGTGGCGCTGTGGCTCAAGTGGTAGAGTGCTAGCCTTGAGCTGAAGAGCTGGGGGACAGCGCCCAGGCCCAGAGTTCAGGCCCCACGACGGGACCCCAAAAAAAAAAAAAAAAACTAGCTGGAGGCATGGCTCAAGTGGTAGTACACCAGCTATAAGCAAGCAAAGCCCAAGATCCCTGAGTTCTAGCTCCATTTCCCAAAACAACCAAAAGTCCAACATAGGGCTGGCAAAGTGGTTCAAGTGGTGGAGCACCTGCCTAGCAGGTTTGAGGTGTGAGACCTTGAGTTCAACCCCTACAGGATAAATAAATAGCTTTCACTTAACATGAAAGTTCCTAGTTTCTGTGCACCTTACACTTAAGAATATTTTCCAGAGTTCAAGCCCCACGACCGACAAAAAAAAAAAATCTTCTATTTAATCCAATACCCAGTGCCTGGCATAAGTTCCAGTAAATTATTAAGCTTCATATTGCAAATTATTTCCAGTGCAATTTTTTTAAGTTCTCAGTATATATGCTGTATATTCTTTCTCCTGTCTTGGAGCATAATTTTCATTTGATACTTATCTTTCTGAAAAAAAAAAAACTATTTGTAGAATGTCTGAATAAAAGCAACATTCCTCAAAGTCTGGCTGAACTAACAACAGCAGGAGGTACAAAATCACCATAATGTATCACCCTGCTATGTATGGTACAATTGCACATGGGAGTGTTTCCATTAGAATTGCATCCTGCTTACAGGCCTGAGCCTTTACAAAGCTCACGTTATGTGCCCTTAGTACAAATAAAGGAAGTGGTCCCATTAGCAAATCTCAAACTGGCATTTACCCTTTCCTTTTTTGCATGTAGAAAAGTAACCTCAGGTCTGGATAGAGCAGGCACATTCAACCAGCTCCTGGCACACTGTCCTGCACATATTGTTTAGACCATGGTTGGTGACTACAGTTCATTTTTAGAGTCTTTAGTGCAAGGGTCACCTATAACCTGAGCCCTGGCAGCACTTGGTGAGATTGCCATTCTGTACTGCTTTTTTGTCTGTTTTCCTCTCTGAGAAGATTGCTCTCCCATTGAAAAAGGGCTTAGCATGGTGTGGGCAGTGGGGGGAACCCTGTAAGTCTAGGAGCCAATGGGTCCAAGGCCATGTATTTCCCTTTAGCAAGTTCTGTTCTTTTTGAGAGGGGAAGTTTGCATGCATTGGAGACTTCCTTGCCTGCTTGTCTCCACACAGGATTCAGAGATGGAGATACTATTGTATTCCCTTACCCTGGCTCAGGACAGTGGGGGTGAGGTCCAAGTCAAAACACTTGAGTGTCTACATTAAAAAAGCTGTCACAAGGGAGTGATGGAGCAGGACTTGACAGTTCCAAAACGGAGTCCAAACCCTTCCTCTGTAAGTTGATTATCTTGGCTATTTGTTTCTGTCAGAAAGAGGAGGAGGTGCCGGACGTGTTGTGAAAGTCAGACATCAGTCTGAGTCCGCACTAGTAGAACTTACAGAAATACTTGGGTATCTTGTTGGAGTGTTTTTGTTATTTTGTTTGTTTAGCAAGAAACAGAGATGTTTATTTTTTTAGTGGTTTAGGGACATAAGAATACTTCCAATTTCACCAAAAGACAAGATAGAAAAAACAATAAATGTGAGTCCTATCACCTCAAAAGTGTTTCAGGTTGGTATTGTCCTAATTACTAACTGCTAGCGCCACACGTGCTGCTGTTCCCAGCTTCCAGCAAGAAATGAGCCGGTCTCCATCTTCCTGCTTGCCTCTTCTGCAGAGCCACTTCAGACAGGGACCCATGACTGGGTGACATAGACACAGGATACTGCTGTATACCCAGGCCACAGGTGTGCTTGTGTGTGTGTGTGTGTGTTTAAACATAAGGCCTCACACTTGCTAAGCACCCATTCTACCTGAGTTATACCCCCTACCCCTAGACCATTTTTGATAACCAATCAGTTTTTCAATATGGATGGCAAATGATTTGAGATTTGAATTCCCTAGATCAGACTGTTTGTGAAAGAAGATGTCTTTCGGGCCAGAACATTGTATGTGTTTTCCATGTAAACATTTCAGCCAGCAGCATGCCCTGTGCCCTGTTCACTTTTCAAAGGCTGTGGGATGCTCTAGGCCTCAGGGATTGTCCAGCCAGGGAAATGCATGCCCCAGCTATGCCTAAATGGTAAAGTGACTAGTCTGAATCTAGGTAGAACCCTTGACTCCAGGCCTATTAACACTTGGATTTGGCAGAAATTTCAATATCTCTGCTGTGAGCTGTTTAATCTGAGATCAAGAGATTTGGGGGGAAAAATGGGGAAAAAGCAAATACAGGATCTACTTCTACAGACTGGCTTAACCCAGGGCAAGATTATGTCCTCAATAATCTTTCTAGGAATAACAGCAGTATTAAAAAAAAAATCATATCAAGAAATATTTGCATCAATATAGGTAATTACTTTTGGTTTAATTAAAAGTCCCCCATCAATAGCATAACTTGAAACTGGAGAGCTTAAAATGCAAATTTCAAAATCGTTTCCAGCTAAGATCTACAAGCCATACCCTCCAGCCAAATCCAGCCAGCGGCATGTCATTCTGCTCACAGCTACAGCACCTACACTTTAGTATTGTCTGGGGCTGCCTTCATGTCCTAAGAGCAGAACAGCAGAACTAGGATGGAGACTCGATGACCTGAAACATTTACTACCCAACCCTTCACAGGAAAAGTCTATAACCCATGTGTTTAGGAGTAGCAAGTAAATTCAACCCTCTGCAGTGTGGAGCAAGGCACACTGGGCCATACATGGGCTCTAGAGCCCTGGCCTTTCTCTTCCCTGGCCTCACTTGCTCAGAATCCACTAGTCAAGTCATTGTTCTTCGCCTGTAGCTGGAATAACAAGATGTGCCATCACAAATGGCCATTGGTTGAGATGGAGTCTTGTGCACTTTTATGCCCCTGGTCTCTAACCTGATCCCCTGGTGGCTCCAGCTATGGTTGCATGTTTGAACTACCACTACCAGCTCTCATTTCCAGACCTATCCTCAGTTGCTAGGGTTATAGCTGCCTTTCAGGTTTCGCCTACTTCTAACTCCTGAAAGACCACAAAGGCTTTTCTGAGCCCCTTATCACTTCACTACACAGTAGCTATGTGCCCTTGGCAAGGTGAATTTGTGCCTCTGTGTCCCCACCTATAAAATGGGACACCCTTACTGCAAAGGGTTATCTTGATAATAAATGAGGGTGTCCACATTAACTTATTTTGCATCAGATCTGCCATGGAGCCAGATGCTCAATCAATTTTTCAATTGGTCACGTTAGCTCTTGGAGCCCCTGACTCGGCACAAATGGAAGAAGACACCACATCTCCATTAGGTCACTTGTTTTCTTGCAGGGTTGAGGATCGACAGCAGGCTCTGGTATAGGTTAGGCACATGCTCTACCACAAGTTACACCCTCAGGCCTGATTTAAGTCACTATATTGAGAATGGCATTAACTCACCGTCTGGGGAAAGTATAAAGGATGAGGCTAAACATTTTGCTAGCTATTACATTGTTCTCTCTGGGTTCTAGCAATTCCTGAGGAGCCCAGCTACTGGATTCATGCCTAACATGCTTTCATCCTATCCTGTGATGCCTTTTTAAAGACATTTCCAAAGGAAATAAATTATCAATGTTGTAGATGCCACCAAGTTCCTGTTTTCTCCTTCCCCACCTTCAAAGCTCTGGCCAGTGATCACAATTTCCCTTTCAACTGTCTTTATTCTACTGCCATCCTGTGGCTGACCTGTGCCACTGCAGCACCATGGGGCATATGTCATTGAGTGTCTGGATCCTCATTGTCCTAATTGTCACCAGGAAGGGGCTTCTTGAGAGGCAGGGAGTGCAATCAAGAAGCTGCTCAAGTCCCAACCAGTGCACAGGAGCCTGGGTATGCATCACCAGTCTTGACTTGACTTCTGTTTGATGAATCTCAAGGACATATAGTACAGGAACAGGAAGCCACTGCTGATGCCCATGACGATGACGTAGATGATGTGGAGCGGGTATGAGTTCAGGTCCATGGCGTCGAGCATCTGGAGACACAGACATCCAGTGAGCTCATGAGCAAGGCATCCAGTTGATTGTTCCTTAATTTAGAACCCAAGGCCTTTGCCACTTACTGTATCTCCTGGGACAGTGAAGGTGGCATTGCCGACTTGCATGATGATAGGGCGCCTACTGAACTCTATTTTCATCAGCCCTGAGAAACACCACCGGAGGAAGGACACCTTGGAAATCCACGCAGGCGCTGAGGACAGCAAAAGCCACATTATTCCCAAGGTTTCGGCTGGCTGCTGTGTGTGTGGTACTGCTGAGGGAGGGCTATGCTAGCTCTAGCCCAGGAGAGAGGCCTAAAGGGCATTGGAGTGGTGGCAGGGGGAGGGTGAGAAACAGTTTCACCCACACGTGAAATCTGTAGCAATTCTAGAAAGTCATTAGCTGGGTTTCCTGCAGGTTCTCAGCTTCACAGAGCATTCAGCAGCCCCACACCAGAGATGACTTGGGTCAACCCTGACTCTGGAGCATTGTGGAGTGATAGAGATTGCATAAGCCTTGCTGAACTATTAAAAAAAAAGCGGGGGGGGGGGTAGCTAGGCACCAGTGGCTTATGTCTGCTGTAATCCTAGCTACTCAAGAAGCTGAGATCCTGAGATCTGAAGATTGAGGTTCAAAGCCAGCCCTGGCAGGAAAGTCCATGGGAGACAGCACCAATGAACTACCAAATAACTAAAAAGCTGGAAGTGGAGCTGTGGCTTAAGTGGTAGCGCTCTAGCCTTGAGCAAAGAAGCTCAGGAACAGCACTGGGGTCCTAAGTTTAAGGCCCAGTAGTGGCATGCACACACACACACACACACACACACACACACACACACACACACACACACACACACACACACACACACACACACACACACACACAGCCTGGCAGAAGACAGGATAGGAAAGTGAGGAAAGGTTTCCATAGAGGGTACAATGGGCTGGAGGTGGCAGAACTGCTCAGGAGGGGCAGCAGGGAGCAGGCAAAGCTTGCGCTGCATGGGTGAACCCTGTCCATAATCCAGGGTCCAATGATGACTTTCATGTGGAGATTCAGCCAAGGGGATGCAGTCAGGGTGACTTAGCATCTGCAAGGGCTTTGAGGAGGGGGTCACCTGTCTCCTCTAATAGAACCATGCCCATGGCCTGCAGGATAAAAGGCATCTGTTTGCCAGCCTTGGGGGCCCAGGGGTCTAAATGATCAACATCTACCTCAAAGGAAAGCAGCCTCCACTAGCCACATGAAGAGGATCTTAGGTGCTTAGCCAGGAGAGGCGGAGAAATCCTCACCTATCCACAGATTGTCCAAGTTGATCATGAAGCCCCCGGTGAGGTAGAAGGAGTTATAGAAAGCGTTGCAGAAGAAGGAGGACATGTGGAAGGTGGGCAGCATGGCGGCGGCAGCCAGAGCCATGGTCCTGCAGCAGAAGACCACCAGCCACACCAGTACAAAGTGCAGCAGGAAGGGCTCAATGCCTGGCCGCAGGTTGGTCAGCCAGTAGATGGTCATCCCGTAGATGCTGATATAGGCGCAGTGCTCAGGCAGCTCCCCTAGGATCTGCAAAAGTACAGGCCTTGGGTCCACGGCCTTCATTTGTCAATATTTTACCACATACAAGCCAGGTGCTGGTGTCTCATGCTTGTGATCCTAACTACTCAGGTAGTTGAGATCTGAGGATAAAGATTCAAGGCCAGCCCACACAAGAAAGACTCTTATCTACAGTTCACTAACAAAAGCCACAATGGAGGTATGGCTCAAATGGTAGAGCACCAGCCTTGAGTGAAACAGGCAATGAAGAGCATGAAGCCCCAAGTTCAAGCCCCAATACAGGCATATGCACAAAAATAACATCGAATGTTCACGTGTTCCACCAACACAATGCCAGCATTCCTTCCTGGTGCACACTGGCCGCTGTAGGAGGATGCTGAGGTCCGGCAGGTGAGCCTGTTCTCCCTGCACCCCAGAGGGCAGCCTAGGGCTGTTTCCACAGGATGGGAGCTGGTACCTACTCTCCTAAGACCTGATGTCAGGTCCCCCCACCCCTCACCCCTGCCCAGATCTAGTTAGTTGTGTGGCCGTAGGAACTTCGCTCAGAGCTTCCTCTTTCTGGCAGCCTGACCTGTTCCAGGGCTCTGGAGAGGTAAAGGTTGCTAAGCCAATCCCATCTCTTCCTTTACAGGTCCCTGCTCACCAGAAAAATATCACTCCTGGTTCATAGGCCAGGCCTTTGGGTGACTGTTAAAAGAATATCTAGTCTTTGAGATTCTCCTAGAGAATGCCATCTCTGTAATTGCCAAGCATGTACACCTGGGGTTTCCACTACTTTCCTGCAGTATTTTGGCAAAGCTGTACAGCTTTCTTCACCTAACGTGTGCTTTCCACCCTGGCCAGTCACCTTGGCAAAGAAGTAGGGGCCAGTGGTGTACAGCCCATCCTCCATCTCGTGGTACAGCATGGCCCTCTCCGAGTGACCTGGAAAGGAGAAAGGGGAAGGGAGCGATGACTCGGTCATCTACGTTTTCTGATTTGGCTTCCTCTTTATAAACACTCTAAGTATACCATCTAAACTTCTTAAGTTGTGTGTGTGTGTGTGTGTGTGTGTGTATGTGTGTGTTGTTCATTTATGTGTGTTTGTATGTGTGTGCTGGTCCTAGGGCTTGAACTCAGGGTCTTGGCACTGTTTCTGAGCATTTTTTTTACTCAAGGCTAGAGTTCTAACTCTTAAGCCCACAGCTCCTTTTGGCTTTTTTTTTTTCTGTTATTGTTTGTTTTGTTTGTTTATTGGAGGTAAGAGTCTCTTGGACTTTCCTGCCAGGGCTAAATAAACTGCGATCCTCAGATCTCAGCCTCCTGAGCAGCTAGGATTACAGACTTGAGCCCCTGGCACTCGGCTCTTAAGTTGTATTTGTTTTTTAACCAGGCACAGTGAAGCCACCTTGATGCAGAGGCTGTGGGAAGTCTAGACTTTGGGAAAGGCTCTGTGGCTTGTGCATGTCTGTCAAGTACAAATCCTGCGAAGAGACTAACAGCTAAGACTCCATAATTTGCCTTCATTAGCATATTAATATGCAAACTTAAAAAAACAATAGCTGTCATTTATTTTACAATCACAATGATATTATTCTGTAAAGCTATTGTCCCCAGGTGCTCAGAGATGCACAGAGGTTGACCTTGGTCCAAGATACCCCCTGTCCTGGAGCCCCACCGTCATGAGAGCAGGCGACACTCACATTTGGAGGTGACACCCAGAATCACATTGAAAGGGACAAGTGCTCCGATCATGAACAAGAGGGCTGTTGTGTCCATGAAGGAAAGCTTGGTGGCCCCGTGACCATAGTAGAGGAAGCCGATGATGAGAGCCAGCAGGCAGGCCTCTGCTCCGTGGATGAGGAGAGTTGGCAAGTCTCGGAAGTCATTGGAAAGCTGACGGCTTAAAACAACAAAAGAAACACAAAACACAAAAAGACGTCAGAAGAGCAACATACCCCAGCCCTGTGACCTGGTGATCGCCTGAAGTCTCTTTTTTTTCCTAATTTATAGAATGGGGTTGGTCACACCTACTTCACAGGAACATTGAGGATCCCATCAGAAAATGGATGAAAGTTTCTGTACACAGTAGATAATAAATGAATCATGATGGCTTTGTACAAAGGTACAGGATCTCACCATATAGCCCTGGCTGACCTGCCTGAACTCAAAAATCTTTGTCTCAGCCTCTCGTGTGCTGGAATTACAGGCATAACTACCATATCTGGCCAATGATTATTACTTTTTTCATCAGTGTATCAGCCTGACAATTCTTAGAGAAATTGTGCTGAGAGAAAAAAATCAATCAGATCCACAAAGTACAGTTGAGATGTTTGCCACAGCATTGCGTATTTCATAGCAAAGGCTCCCAAACAAATAACCGTCCACAGACTGGAATGGTAAAGGACTGTGGCTAATGTTGAATGCTGGGAGGGGAGTGGTGGAGGTGGAGTCCTAACCAGGTAAGGGGCCCGGCTCAATCATATTTTTGAAGTAGATGACTGAATAATATGCAGAGCAGGATCCAGCCTGTGTATTAAAATGTTTCTGTCCGTGGAAATCACTGAAAAGACAGGTCTGGCATGAGAGCCTGGTTTCTTCAGAGGCTGGTGGGACAGGAATTCCTCCATTGCTAGTTTAAATTTCTTGTATTATCTCCCTTTTTCACAATGACTTTAGGCTATTTCCAAGATCATTAGCCAGTAAGGCTATTTTAATTTTGTTTAGAGAATAAAAGTAGCAGGCCTGCTCTGTGTCTCCTGAGGGTCACGCTGCTTCTGAGGATTCTGGTTTGCAAACAATTCTACCTGTCTTCCTCCTTCAAACCGACACCCTCCCCCACCCTCTATCAACACTGGGCTCAAACTCAGGACCTTTCACTCTCCTTTAGCTTTTCGCTCAAGGCTGGCACTGTACCACTTGAGCCACAACCCCACTTCTGGCTTTTTGCTTGTTCATTGAAGGCAAGAGGCTTAGAAACTTGCCTGCCTGGGTTGGCTTCAAAACATGATCCTCAGATCTCAGCCCCCTGAGTAGTTGGGATTACAGGTGTGATCCACTGGCACCTAAGTCTCAAATTCACTTTTAATAGGAAAAACTTAATCTGGTATTTAGTGAGGTTTGTGGGGTAGGGACAAGGGAGAAACAATTACCGGATCAGGGTGGCAAATTGGTGTACAGCCCCAGATGGCTGAGGAGGTGAGCAGTCGGCGTCCTGTGGCAGGGTTGGGCTGATGGAGAAATATGTGGCTTAATGGCCAGGACCTGCTGAAGAAGGCTTGCCGGCCTGAGCCACGATCCCACCGTACCTCACAGCACGGGTGTCCGCATCCAGCTCCCTCAAGTCCGCTTTCCACACAAAGTCATCAAAGCCGCGTACTTTTTCTAGAAACAAGGCCGCTAGCGACTGAGCTTTCTCCATGGTGGCGACTTCCTGCTCTCGGCTGTGTCTGTCAATGCTGGTCAAGTCCACTATAAGCAGAGAATTCCAAGCCAGGTGTGATGCACCCTGGCCTGGGTCAGTTTCCTGGAGCTCCAGGACACTCCCCCCGTGGTTATGAAGCCAGAGACAGAGCAGGGAGCTGGCCCACAACCTTGTCAGACTTGATGTCATCTACAGAGGTCTACAGTGGATGGACATGGATGGATCATGAAGTGATCAACAGAAGAGGCCCTGGGTCCAGCTCCCCAACCTCACCCTGGCTCATTACAGAGAGAACCCAGGATAAAAAACCCTGACTCTATGGGCTGGGAATGTGGCTTAGGGGTAGAATGCTTGCCTAGCGTGCATGAAACCCTGGGTGTGATTCTTCAGTACCACATAAGCAGAAAAAGCCAGAAGCAGTGCTGGGGCTCAAGTGGTAGAATGCTAGCCTTGAGCAAAAAAGTTCAGGGACAGTAATCAGGCCCTGAGCTCAAGCCCCATGACTGACAGTTCATTATGCACCTCAAGTAAGAATCATGTCTATGAGGGGCCTTCATAGACTACCATTTGTTTCCTCAGTGCATGGCTACAGCTCCAAACACCAGATCTTTGTGGCAAACCAAGCTATATGTGACTCCTGCACCCCAGACTGCCCCAGGATTTATAGGCAAGGGCTCATACTGCCCCCAAAGAATATCACAACAACAAAAAAGCTGGTTTGAGATCATTGTGGGCATTTGGCTTCTGATAGTGCCGGTCCAGGCTTTCTTTAAATCTCTCCTTTATTGGCCAGGTTGGCAGGTGTCCTCTGTTCCCTTCTCTGAGGATGCTGGCCTGAGAATGACACACTGGCGGGAAGCCAGAATGGCATGCGCATATGGGGTAGAACTCCTTAAGAGTTCACCAAGGATGTGCAGAGGAAGGGCAGAGGCGGGGCCTGAGAGGAGCAGCCCATCCTTCAGGGGTGCAGTGGAGTGTGACTGAGGATGCTGCAGAAGCAGGAGTCACACATACCCGTGGAGTCCCAGTTCTGTGTCCCCCGGAAAGCATGCTATAGCAGGCAAAGTGTTGAGCTCTTCCAGCTCCAGTCTCCCATCTGCATAGATGGAGATGACCTTGGCCTGGCAGGGGAGTTGGGGGGTCAACAGGGAGCTTAGGACTACAAACCCTGATGTATGTCTTTAAGGAAATGGTGCCCATCTTTAGATTTATTGATGTATGCATGCATGCTGGTACTGAGGCTTGAACTCAGAGCCTTTCACTCTTACTTGGCTTTTTCACTCAGTCCTCACACTCTATCACTTGAGCCACACTTCTACTTCTGGCTTTTTGTTAGTTAATGGGAGATAAGAGTCTCATAGACCTTTCAGTCTGGTTCCAACCATGAACCTCAGATCTCAGCTTCCTTTAGTAGCTAGGATTACAGGCATGAACCACCAGCACCCAGCTTCAGATTTATTGGTGAGCTGCTGCCTACACTTTGCCATCCTGGGAAGAGCCTGAGGTTCCAGGTGACCTCGGGGATCAGCCACAGCTGGTCAACAGCTTAGTAGTCATGCTGTTCTACGCTGCCATAGTCCCCATGGGTACTATCCAGGAGGTGCCCTGAAAAAGCCACTGTTCTCTGGCAATGAAGGAAGTGGCTCATGTGAGCCTGAGTTTAATATCCTAAGCTCTCAGGGCCCAAGAGAAAGCCAGTCTGGAGAGCAGAGCAATTCTCATGCCTCAGGATTCATTGGGAAAAGCCAACATAAAGACCCTGGGCTGTCCCTGCCCTGGGTCTGTCCATCCTGCCATACCTGACAACTCCCTGCTAGGAACCATCTTCAGATTTCCCTGGTGTCTGGAACACTTTAAACATTCTGTTTCCTACAGAGTCTGAACACTTATAACAAGGGACCCAAGCCCTGCTCCATTCCGTGTCTGTTCCCACCCTGTTGGGCCCAGAGGATGGGCTTTGTCAGAAGCTGCGCTTTCCTCAATTGACCTTATTCTCCATCCTGCTCTGCCCAACATCTCTTTGCTGTTGTCTCTTGAATCTTTCCATCAAGTGTTCTTTTTTTGGGGGGGGAGGAGGGGAGGGAGGATTATTATGGGGTGGTGGTGGTGATGTGTACCAGGCCACTGGATGCTGGCCTGGCTGGCTCACCATAGAAGTCAGCAGGGTTGCTGTAGCGGGGACAGGGGTAGCCGATGGCTGTGAAATACTGGATCATGTGCTGCGCCGCCCCCAGGTAGACGGTGGTGCCGGATGTCATCAGGAGAACCAAGTCAAACAGCCTGAAGATGTCGGAGCGGGGCTGGTGGACGGAGATGAGCACCAGCCTGTTGCCTTTGGCCAGCCGGGATAAGGTTTTCACCAGGTTGTGGGCGGTGAAGCTGTCGAGGCCGGAGGTGGGCTCGTCCAGCATGAGGATGCCTTCCCAACACAGAGGAAGGGGCCGGGTGACGGGGCCGGCCTGAGCCAGGCAGCTGCTCATCTCAGGCCCCTCGCCCCTTCCACTTCCAGACCTCACCTGGGTTCCACAGAAGCTGCACCCCGATGCTCACCCTCCGGCGCTCACCCCCAGACACCCCACGCACATACATGTTGCCCACGCGGGTGTCGGCACAGGGCCTCAGCCGCAGCTCTGCAATCACGTCCTCCACCTGGGGACACAGGAGAGGTGCAAAGTCGTGAGACACCAGGGGCTGTGGACTCAAGCTATGGAAGCATCTGCAACTCCGCTGGGATCTCAGCATGCAGGAAGAAGGCGGCCCCAGCATTTGACTTCCCTGGTTCAGTTCGTGTCCACCTACCCTGTGTCTGTGCCCAGCTTCAGAGCAGATCACTATGCAGGCCACAGACCTCCTGCCCATGGGAGCTCCAGCAAACACGCTCACAAATCCACACACACTCATCACACATTTGATAAGCACCCCAAAAGGAACCCACTGGGGCAAGATAGTTTCCCGGATGCTGAGTGGTGGTGTTCAGACTCAACCTACCCACCACCAAGTCCGTTAGTTACCCTTTTGTCACGCTGGGCCTGGGAGAAGGTCCTGGGCAGCCGCATCTGGGCCACAAAGGCCAGGGTCTCCCTGACTGTCAGATTGGGGAGCAGCTGGTCATGCTGGCGCACGTGGGCCACGCTCTTCCGCACCAGCTGACGCGTGCTGGGCTTCCCATTGATCCAGATTTGGCCCGACTTCATCTTGCCACCATGGTCTCGGCCTGTGATCACGTCTAGCAATGAGGCTCTCCCACAGCCTGCAAAGGCCCAGAGACATGGCTGAGGACACAGCTGCGTCAGGGCCACTCAGCAGCCCGCACTTCTTATCTATTCTCCAGCATCCAGACTGCTCTATCTTTGCACAAAGGACCAAGCATTGGGGACCATAGACTGTTCCTAAGATCCTACCCAGCATGTGGAGCTTCAGGTCTTTTGTCTAAAGCCAACTTGTGCCTGTTGGGGGCTTGAGAACTCGCTGATACACTTCAGGCCAAGTCAACCATAGGCTGCAGGACAGTAGAAGGATGGAGGCCTGACTACCACACATCTGTTGTGCCTGGAGGGCTTGTTCCCTCCCCCGCCCCCAACCACCCCAGCAGCAAGCCCTGGGCTGATAGCATTGTGAAGTTTTGCCACTATTTGCCACAGAGGTGCCAGAAACTTCTCATCATCCATCCTCAGAAAGCTGGCTTTGTGGGAACAACTAATTTGGAACAGACATAGGGTGTCTTTTAAAAATGCAAAAACAGAACCTATTTTGTGAAATAAGGAAGAAAAACCACCACTGAGATGTAGAAATGATTTTTTTAAAAGCACAAGGGACACATGGATTCTAGGTTCTGAATGTACCTACATCTTTTCTCTTATTTTTAGCAGTAGTACCTTTTATTTTCCTTTTTACTTAAAGGAAGGACAATCCTTGATGCTCAAATTAACACCACCCGCTATTTCTGAATGATGTATCAGTTACTACTGATTTGCATCATACAGAATCTAGTTTCCAAAAGTATTCCATAAGGCTCCTTCTCAACAGCCATCCCAACTGAGAATGTGAATTGGGCTCAAGCTTTGGAATGGGGAAAAAGATCCATCCAGGTGAGGTGTTAGCTTCTTTTCCATGAATATCAAACCTTTTTTAGGAGGATTTCTGTTTGGTTTTTTGTTCTCTTGATAACAATAGACATGTGATAAGTTCTCCTGGCCACCGCCAATTGCAAAATCCAAAAGTCACGTGATCCTCCTGCTTAACTGCCCAGAGGCTCGGAGTAAAAGCAGTCTTACACCTTGCCATCTGGGTGCACCTCATATAGGCCTCCTGTGAATTAAGGGGCAGCAAAACTGCCAGGAAAGGGAACCAGGGTTTAGAGACCTCAGCCCTGTTACCTACTCGGCCTCAGACATTGGTTCTGGTCTCTGAGTATGTGAGGGACTTTGCCATGGGATCCCACATGGGAAGGGTACATTTCTGAAGCAAAGCTTTTGAGATGTATGGGTAGACTTTGCAGCAGAGGGTGGGTGTCTAATGCATTTAGAAGACTTGGAACCTGGAAACAAACTCCATAGGTATTCAAGGCCTTTATAAAGTAGCTGGCATTTCTCCATCAGTAAATTCATTCCTCAGAAAACAGTTTTCGCATTGTTGATTCTCTACACAAGAAGCTAAATTTTATTTAAAAAATATGGGAAGTTCTCTCTCTCTCTCTCTCTCTCTCTCTCTCTCTCTCTCTCTCTCTCTCTAGTAAAAGTCATATGAAGTATAATGGGGAAACTATTCTGAGAAACTGTTCTAATAATTTTGATCAAGTAAACATGAAGGTGAAGCCAAGCCTCACTGAACCATAATATTATTCAATATAATTCCTGTTCAGCCTCTCTGAACTTCACTTTCCTTAATCACAAATCAGGGCTATTATTGCCTAGAGAATCTTATATACCAGTTATCAGCATGCTGACTCTTACTAAAAGCCCATGTGTTCCCTAGATGGTAAGGTAAATTCAAGAAGAAAAGGCAGATTAAAAAAAAAGCTACCAGAAGCTGTAACTCAAATAACACTGCCCTCCTTCTATTTTTTATCTTGTTTAGATCAGAATTGCAGAGATAGTGGGAGGGACTTAATGAGTTGCATGTTGTCTCAGTTACAAAGTACATTTACACATCCTAACTCATGTGATCTTTGGCTAGACAACAAGCAACTTCTCTATCAGAGGAGTGTAAAAGTTGGGGCAGCTGTTCAAAATATTGAGTAACCTCTGTCTTTGGAAATGATTAATTAAAAAGTAGAAAGTGCTTTCTCTTAACACTGCAGAAGTGTGTCCCAGGAAGAAACACTGGATCTGAGTATCAAGAGATCAAGTTCATGCTCTAGATCGACTTTAAATGTGTGTCCTTAAGAGATTCACTTGACATCTTTGGATTTAGTGTCTTCATCTATTTAAATGAAAGGGAATGTTGTATGCACACATGTGCATGTGCAAAAGAACACACTGGAAGTATCAAAGAATAGATCATTTGAAAATCTTCCTCTAAAAATGCTTCCCAACTGTTGGGATGGAGGCATGGCTCAAGTAGAAGAGCACTCACTAGCAAGTGCAAAGCACTGAGTTCAAACACCAGTTACTACCAGATCGGTAGGCAGGTAGGTAGGTAAATAGATAGATGATAGATAGATTGACCGATCAGTTGATTTCCATACTGGTATGCAGAGAAGCAGAACTCTGTCCTTCAAGTTCCCCATTAGCTGTATTGTTCTATAGTTTAAAATTTAGCCTGCACAAGTGACTGAAATGCTCCAAGGTTTAAGGCCAGTTCTATGCTGGTGGTTGAAGGTTGTACTCTGGTATGGAGGGGGAGAGCTGTGGCGGGGCTTTGCCTAGTCATTGTCTGACCATGACCTGACTCTGGCTGTGGAGGGAATGTCCTGAGAGGGTGCCCTTGTGGCTGGTGGAGGCCCTGGAGAGAACATTATGTCCCAAAGCTGCAGCCACAGCATCTGTCTTTGGTTAATATCTGCCCTGAGACAAGATCATCAGTCAGCTTCAGGTGAACAAGAGACACTTGTGATCCCCTACATAGCAACAGCTGTGAGCCAGTGAACAGAAGGGCTGGCCCTTGAGCCCAGGTCTCTCTAACCTGTGCCTGTGCCCTCAGCCACTCTGCCACATTGGTATACTAGATAGTAGAGTTCAATAAGCAGCATCCATGTGTCCAAAGGAGCGAGAAGCCACGGCCCCACTATTTGCCTTCATGGTACCTGAGCTCCCTATGATGGCCAGCATCTGTCCACTTCTCACTTTGAAGCTCAGGTTCTGGATGCCCAGCTCACAAGAGTCTTTGCTCTTTTGAGACATCCAAGGTATTTTGAACTGAGCCAGCTGCTCAAACCAAGGCACCTGGGAGGCCATGTCCACCTGTAGGGAAAGGTACCAGAGAGTTCTTCAGAGAGCTGAATAGCTAAGAGGGTGTCAGAAACTCATGTTCAACTTCCCTGTGCTCTGTGTGGCCCTTCCCATAGGAGATATCCCTCTGTGGGTATCCTCAGGCATACCTCTACCCAGATTCTACTAGCACAGAGGTGGGACCCCACCCTGTTGAGAACCTGAAACTGCTGTTTCTGGTCTAGATTGGGAAGGAGATGGGAGAGCATGTAGAATAAGGGAAAATAAAATAACTTCTCAGGTGATTACGATGTGCAAGACATTGTGTCCATTGCTTCCATCATTAGCCCTTTCAGTTGCACTGCAAATTTGTACCATAGGTGTTACTGTACTGTTTTACAGATGAGGTTCAGAGCAGTGAAGTAATTTACTTGAGCTTACACAGATAATAAGTGGCAGCAAAGAGAAGGATTAGGTTGTTCTAACATACCCACAGGTGTGAGTGAGTGGGCCAGATTGGGACCTCTCTGGCTCCATCCAGGGCCTTACCTAGGGAGCATGTGCATTCTGCCTTGGGAAAGGGGAGTAATAAGGGTTGTTGATTTTGATGCAAGTGTTTCTGAAAACTCCTGAAAGGCCAATGGTTGTCCGGGCAGTTGTTCACGGTGTCTTATTAGCTTCAGGGACAGGACATTTGTCAATATAAATATAGATACATTGCTGGGCACTGGTGGCTCATGCCTGTAATCCTAGCTACTCAGGAGGCTGAGATCTGAGGATCACGGTTCAAAGCCAGTCCGGGCAGGAAAGTCCATGAGACTATCTCCAATTAACCACCAGAAGACCAGAAGTGGTGCTGTGGCTCAAGTGGTAGAGCGCTTGCCTTGAGCTGAAGAGCTGAGGGACAGCACCCAAGCCCAGAGTTCAAGCTCCACGACCGACAAATAAAAATAAACAAATATATATATATATATACATGGAGATACATAAATGCATGAAATCTAAATAAAGTCTATACTTTGATTTCTTTTTAGATCATATAGATCTAACTTTTGTCAAATAAAAATGTATGAACTTTAGTTATTAGAATTGTATCTCCTTCCTTCCGTCTTTCTTTCCTTGCTACCTTCCTTCATTCCTCCCTCCTTCATTACCTTTCTTCTTTTTTTGTGCCAGTACTAGGGCTTGAACTCAGGGTCTTGCATTCTCATTCAGGTTTTTTTTGCTCATGAATAGTACACTACCACTTGAACAATGCCAGCTGGTTAATGGGAGGTAAGAGTCCCATAGCTTTCTGCCTGGGCTTGCTTTGACCATCAATCTTCAGATCTCAGCCTCCCAAGTAGCTAAGATTACAAGCATGAGCCAGAAGCACGAGCCCATTGCTAATTTCCTAATGTGGGTAATTATTCTCTGCTATGCAAACTATTAACCTTAGGGGAAACTGAGTAAAGGGTCTATGGGAACACTATTATTTTTGTAACTTTGTCTAAAATTATTTCAAACTCTGGAGTTCCAAAGACTACCCCGATGGGCTCTCACACTTGGTTTCCATAAGGAGCCTGAGGCTTCTCCATGCCTCTTCAGCTGTGTGTGCACTGGTGAGGAAGGATATCTCTGTGAGGCTTCTACTTGACACACGAAGCCTGCACCCTCCATCCCAGGGCAGGATAGATAGTCTATGAGCAGTGCTCACACTCCTCCTCGAGGAATTCTTTTTTTTTTTTTGTTTTTGTTTTTTTTTTGGGGTCCAGTCGTGGGGCCTGAACTCTGGGCCTGGGTGCTGTCCCTCAGCTCTTCAGCTCAAGGCTAGCACTCTACCTCTTGAGCCACAGCGCCACTTCCGGCTTTTTTTCTTTTTGCTTATGTGGTGGTGAGGAATCGAACCCAGGGCCTCATGCATGCAAGGCAAGCACTCTACCACTGAGCTACCTTCCCAGCCCCTCGAGGAATTCTTGTGAGAGTGTAGGCCCCTACCTGGTAGGTGAGGTCTCTGACCTCCAGCGTGTTGGACTGGCCACTGTAGGTGAAGTACAGGCTGTTGTCACTTTCAGAGGAGAACAAGCTATCCTGGAGGACCTGCTGGGAGACATGGCAGGTGAAACCACTGAGGATGCAGGCAAAGAAGGAAGGAGACCCCAGAAGAGAGAGCAGTGGCTTACTATCTGCTTGAGATCCCAGGTTGGCAGGAGATGGGCTGGAGCAGGGCAGTGAGGAAATGGGAGCGGTGAGAAGAGCACATCTACCCCTCCCTCAGGAGATGTTGGGATTCTCCTAGGACTGCTCCATCCCTGGAGAATCCTAGCTGAGGGCCTGTGGGCCAGAACCCAAGCAGCTGAGGATGAGTGACACCCAGACTCCACATGGGAAGAGCTGAGTGGGAAGACCTAAGCTGTGAGCAGGTAAACGTAACCTTCAACTTTCCCATTCCATCAAACGGCTTAATAATATCTCCTAATGCCAAATAGACATTGCACATGAAAGGGTAACAGCTAGCAGCAAGTTAATACTCAACCTGTCAAGATGCCTTTCCAAGGAGCGTTGTATCTGATTTTGTTTGTTGGTAGGTTGGTCAGTCCTGGGGCTTGGATTCAGGGCCTGGGTGCTGTCCCTGCGCCTCTTTGTGCTCCAAGCTAGTGCTTGACCACTTGGCCAGAGTACTACTTCAGGCTTTTTCTGAGTATTTCATTGGAGGTAAGAGTCTCTGGACTTTCCTGCCTGGGCTTGCTTTGAACCATGATTCGCAGATCTCAGCCTCTTGAATAGCTTAGATTACAGGCATGAGCCACCAGAGCCTGGCTTGTAGCTAACTTTTTAAAAAAATAATATTTTTATTATTATCTTTAAGTAGTTGTACAAAGGAGTTGCCGTTTAACCAGTTTATGAATACACTATATCCTCAACATTGTTGCCCTTTGTAACATTCTCATCCATCCCTCCCCACCCACCTCTTCTCTCACTCTGCTTAATTTTGTAGGACATACATTGGATTCTTGTAGGCATTTTCCCTTATCTGACGTTAATGAGGAATTTTGTGCAACAGAGGTATTGAAGACACCTTGGGCCAGTTCAGAGGCAATCTCTATTCTCAACTCTACCACATTATCACTACCATCACCAACACCATCACCACGACTATCACTGTCACCATCACCATATCATATGGTTGTTCTTGCTGAAATAGTGGTATACTTGTGCATTTTATTTAATATCTAATTTTTACATTGTACATAAGTATAGGTACAAAGCAATCATTTTATATATAATCTGAACATATAGATGCTTAAAATATCATATATAACATATAAATATAATATACAGCATATTACATAATAATGATTAAATAAAGCTAAGTATTACTCTTTTTTTGTTGGTCATGGAGTTTGAACTCTGGGTTTGGGCACTGTCCCTGTGCTCTTCAGCTCAAGGCTAGCACTCCACCACTTGAACCACAGAACCACTTCTGGGTTTCTGGTGGTTAATTGGAGATAAGAGTCTCACAGACTTTTTTGCCTGGCTGGCTTTGAACTGCAATCCTCAGATCTCAACCTCTTGAGTAGCTAGGATTACAGGCGTGAGCCATCGGCGCCCAGCCTAATTATTACTTTTATTGCCCTAATCATTTCTTTGTATTGGGAACCTCTGAACTCTTCTCTCCTGGCTCTTTATAACTATGCCCTAGACTGTTGTAAACTATGGACACCTTGCTGTACTGTAGAAAGATAGAACTTATTTCTCCTATCTACATTTCGATGCCCAATATCTGACCTCCTTTCATGCCCTTTCCTCCTCGCTTTCCTTACCTGGAGTGACCACTGTTCTCTAGTGGTCACTACAGCTAAGGAAGTGGCAGAATCTTTGTTTTTAGTTTTTACAGAATTGAAGATCAAACCCATGGCCTTGCTCATGCTAGGCAAGCGCTCTAGCTCTGAGCTACATCCAGGCCCCAGTGATATATTTGAAATTTGACACATTTATGTTTCATAGTAGGTAACTTGGAGTGGTATTAACTGCCAGCAGATCTGATGGTTCTTCAGTCAAGCAGGCAACAAACACTGACTTGAGAGCCTACAGCTGCAGCTCAGAGTCTGTGATGCAACAGTGAAAAAGACTATCTTTGAGAAAGCTTAAATTTTAGTAAGACAGGCATTAGGACAGCATGAGAGTGCTCATGGTAAGCATCTGGGGCTACACAATACCCATGTGTACACTGATCCATGTATGGTTTAGAGGGAAAATAACATCCAACGTCTCTGCACTAATGGTTCAGGAAGAGAGCCTTGGAAAGAACATTCCAGATTTTTGAGGGGGAGGGGGGTGGTTAGAGGCAGTTAAATACAGGTGATCATCTGTCTCCAATGAGCAACCAGCAGAGCTCTAGAGAGTGTAGAAAAACAGCACACTAAAGCTACTTATATGGTTGAATGTTGGAACCATCACTAAAATTTTCCAGTGAAGTGAACATTTATCCAAAAGAGCACAGATTAGGATACAGTAAAGCCACTAGCACAACCATGTTCACTGTAGCATTATTTACCATAGCCAAAATATGGAATCAGCCCAGATGCCCCTCAATGGATGAATTGGTCAAAAAAATGTAGTATAGTATATGTATAAAATAGAATTCTTCTTATCTATCAGAAAGAATGATATTGTACCAGTCATAAGGAAATGGGAAGACTTGGAAAAAATTACATTAAATGAAGTAAGTCAGACCCAAGGAAACACAGGTTGCATAGTTTCCCTCATTTGTGGTAGCTAGAATATGCCTATAAATCTACAAGAAAACATACTAAATGGTAAGAAAGGGGATACTGAAGTATAATAGACTCTATGGAGAACACTAATAGTGTAATTCTTTAGAAATATCAAGCTAAAACTCAACAAAACATCCAGGCACTGGTGGCTCATGCCTGTAATCCTAGCTACTCAGGAGGCTGAAATCTGAAGATTGCAGCACAAAGCCAGCCCCGGCAAGAAATTCCGTGAGACTCTTATCTCCAGCAAACCACCAGAAAACTGAAAGTGATGCTGTGGCTCAAGTGGTAGAGCACTAGCCTTGAGCTGAAGAGCTGAGGGACAGAGCCCAGGCCCAGAGTTCAAGCCCCACGACAGACACAAACAAACAAATGAACAAAAACAAAAAAACCAAAACCCTCAACAAAATAAGTACCAGGAAATGAGTCCTTGAGGGGGAGGGAGGGCAAGAGGAGAGAGTTAGAACAGAGGAGAATTCAGGCAAGCGTTCATTGCATATACCACAGGATTGAGAAAAACAAGGGAAGGAGTAGGTCACAGCGGGGTGAAGATGTTGATGGATGACACATATTAAGATACATTTTATACATGAGCTGCTTTGCTAAATGGCAAAAAAATGAATACATATCGTAAAAATTAAAAAAGCTGAGTGAAGAGGTGCGGTGGGAGGGAAGGGTGAGAATGTTGGAAGGGATGACGCTGATCAAGACACACTCTATTTATAAACTGCTTTGTTGAATGGCAACACCTATGTGCCACTACTTGAAGATAATAAAAATATTCGAAAAATATTGTGTAGTGAAAATATAGAGAAGCTAACACTCAGTTCAGGAGAGGAATTATCTCTGAGGAAGAGAGATGGGGAGGAGAGTAGGTGGAGTGAGGGTGAGCAGGCTTAAAGCTATGGGGAATTAGTGGTGAGCACATGGGAGATGGGAATAAACGGATTGGTTTGAAATATTTCACAATATGTTTTCAGTGTGAGAGGGTAAACGTATGAATAGAGCAACAGAGGTTTCCTCCCACGCGGATGGCCATGTGCTAATACTCCAAAGCAACAGGGGAGAGTGAGGGCAACGGAGGTGAGAGGATCTGTGCCCTCTGAGATGGAGACCAGAGTCCCTGTCGGGGGATCAAGGCTCTGTACCTGCTGGATTCTGGGTTAGCCCTGTGACTCTCTCCTCACCACTTCCCTCCCTACCACACATTTGACCTAGTTTTTCCAGTTCATTGTGTTAAACTACAGAAATGCTATCAAAAGTTCAAGGATTCACTCAATATGCATCCTCTCCTCTCTTCTCTTTTCTCTGTCTCACTGGCTCTCTGTCTCTGACTCACTGTCTGTCTGTCTGTCTGTCTTTGTCTGTCTGTCTGTCTGTCTATCTCTCTCTCTCTCTCTGTAGTACTTTGGTTCAAAATTAGGGGATCATGCTTGTTGGGCAAGTGCTTTACCATGACCCCTAGCCCCGTTTGCTTTAGTTGGCTTTTCAAATTGAGTATTGAGTTTATGCCTGAGCCTGGCCAGGGACTGTAAATTCTCCTTTCTCTCTGCCTCCCAAGTGTCTGGGATTACAGATTGTGCCACCCAGGCCCAGCCCTGCCTTACTGTTTTTAAAGCAAGCATCTAAGTCAATTGGCATCAGATATGAATTAACTTCCTTTGGCTGTCCCAAACCCAGATTGGATGACAGACAGAATGTTGCACTGAGGAAGGAAGTCCCAACATTGGGAGTTCAGAGTCCCATGTGCAAATGACCTCAAGCCCAGCTGACCTCTAGTTCATTGCTTTGAGTCGGGGAGGGCATTGGGGCATAGGGATAGAGCGCCAAGAAGGAAGACAGGTAAAAAGTTGAGAGGTTCCTGACTCCTTGCTCCAGGGTTCACTCCAGTCTCTCCCCGCTGGACCCCAACTGCCATAGGACTGGTTTTCAGGTTGCTACATGGGGAGCTTGGCTTTAGGAGGAAAAAAAATTCCTGCCTGGATTGGGGACCACTTCTGTTTCATTTAGAAGTATTTCCCTTGGCTCCCAGGATAGATTTGTTAGACTCTTCCTGAGGTTTTGACACACTCCCTGTATTTTTCAAATACTTAAATATCTATTCCGCTGACATTTTAATCAGTATGAATGTCAGAACATCATTTGAATTTCTGACAGGTGACACCCAAAAAAGCAAAAGCAGTTTTATTTGTAGGTAACCAGCTCAGCGCCTGCTGGGCTACATTGTAATTTCTCCTTGTATTAACTTCTGATCAAATTCCTGAGTCAGAGCAAAGGCAAGAAGGCAATCAGAGAGCACAGAGCACAAGTAGCTTGTTCTGAGATGAGGAGCTTGTGCTTGGAGAGAGAATGGCTGTGCTGGGGACTTGTGGCTGACAGGGATAATGCAGGCTTTGTTCCTGGCTGAGGGGACACTTCTGGACCTTTACTGAGATACTCCAACAAGGCCCCATGTAACTCAGCTCTGAAGCTCAGGACTCTCTTGTCCTCCGCTGAGCCTACCCTTATCCAGAGTGAGAGGAGTCTGTGGCCCACTGGGCCCCTAGCTCTCTAAGTACCCAAGGCCAGAGTCCTGTGCAACTGCCTCAGTTCCCTTCCCAGGGCTGGTATTCAGATTCTCCCAGACCCAGCTTCTAGAGCCCTGATTGATAATCAACAAACGACATCTGTCTGTGGTGGGCATGGTCTAAATGTGGTGGGCTGGGGTGATCACAGGACTGTGTGGCTTTCTTGCAGAGTAGATGGAGTGGAATGGAGGCTAGGCAGGGATGGGACGGGTTATGGCATTGCCTAGAAGCTGGCTCCCTTATGCCTTCCGCTATCTCATGCTACCACTTTCTAACCGCTACCAAGAAGCTTTCGATTTTCTGCATTTATTCCTATGTGCCAGTGGGGGCAGTGATCAAGGTCAAAAGAGAGAAATTGTTTTATTTAATGGTGCTTCGCTTGTTAAATAGCTTGTGTTTCTCTGTGTGTGTGTGTGCGCATGCGTGCACACTCGCACGTGCATCAGTTACTTACTGGGGCTTGAATTCAAGGCCTTGTATTTTTACTTGCCTTTGTTGCTCAAGGCTGGGCTTCTCTACCACTTGAGCCACACTTTCAACTAAGATCTTCAGGTCTCAGCCTCCCGAGAGGCTAGGATTATGGAGTAAGCCACCAGCGCCTGGCTGTTTGATAGCTTTTAAACATCTAGATACAGGTTAAATGGTCCATAACCTTTACTTCCAAGCCCTACAAATGTTAGGGCAGAACACTGGTTCCCAGAGCAACAGAAAGATTCAGGGTCTATTTGTATTTGAGGATGTGGGGTTTGGATAGTTCTTTGCCCTAAGCTGTGGTAGTAATTTTCAGGGCAGAAAGTACCCCCAAAATCCACCGCTGACTTCCTATCTTATTTAGCATTTGAGCACTGCCCTTCTGGTTGATGGGGTCATTCTTCACAGAGTTGGGTCTAGAGAGCACAACTCGTCATTGCTGTGGCTGTAAAACTGGCTAGGAATTGTGGATCCTTTGGGCCTGTCTGGTTTAATCAAGGTCAGTCCACAGGTCTGTGGCTTTTCTATTGGGTGGGGACTTGTCTCTGGCTGTGGTGCCCTTGGATTTCTTCTCTTCCTCCTCCCACAATAGGTAAAGACAGAAAAGTGGGGCGGAGTGAAGCAGAGATGGAATTCTGCTTCCTTTCCATCTTCCAATGTGGCCTCCTGTTTCAAGCCCTGCCCACAGCCCAGTCAAAGGACATTTATTAAGCAGATGAGGGAGAATGTCTTGTACCTCCACCTGCTGGCCACTTGACTTCTGTCTCTTCCTTCCAGCTCTTTCCCAGATCTGAGGACTTGCTTGCCTCACATTTCGACATTCCCACAAGTCATTGGCCCTCCTGTCACATTCATCATTTCACTCCCACTGAGATTCTTGGCCCGCCAGATGAGTCTCTAGTGTGTGAGAACATATTTCTGGGATGGAATTTCATTTGGAAAAATCAAATGGGCTCAAATCACCCATAAGAAAGTACCTCCTATCCAAGGGGCATTGCCTGAGGCAGAAAATGACCTCAAAGACCTCTTGGTGCTGAACCTGCTCTTTGCAACCCTCTGATGCCCAGGAAATGGAGGCTTGCAGCCACATCCACGCTGCCTGTGGCTCAGGCAGTCAATTAGGACCACCAAAAGCTCCTGGAGAGGGGCAAGAAAGGTCGTTTCTCCCCACCCACCAGGACTGAGGCATGTGGGGGTCACTCACCGAAGCATCTTGGGCAGAAGCCCCATTCCACAGCTCAGTCTGCACTGGGATCTTCTCAGCCATGGGGGTCCACACAGTTTGCACCTCTCAGCTGTATTCCTGTGGACCTCAGCTTGCTGCCCACCAGCCAGGTTCTCTCCCTACTTCTTAGAGCTGAACCAGCGGAGCCCTTCCGCTCTCTCCCAGCCTCTCTCCCAGCATTCCTCGCTGGCAAGCCCTCCCACAAACACGTGGAATGTTCTGCCCACTGCTAAGATAAGGACACTCTGTCTAAAGGTACATCAGATAATGGCACCTGCGGCCAAGTCCCTGTCCTGTTGCCTCCTGAGGAACTTCAGGGCTGGGCAAGGGAACAGGAGGGGCACTCAGCTGAAGCCACTCCAGGGAGGGTCAGGCCACCAGAAAATCCACCTGCCTTTGCTGTCTGTTGGCCATGAGTGAGCTCCCCTTTCTGACCCCAGCTGGGGCCAACGCATTCCAAGTAAACAGAACTTCCCAGAGCTCCCTTCAGGAGGTTCCTGAAGCCGCTGTCCCGGAGCCTCGGCACAGTCTAGGCGTCCTCCACGTCTCCTACAGCATCAGGTAAGGCGTGAACACACAGCCCGGCCTGGGCTCCTGCCCCCTACTCTGCCTCTCTCCACTAAGGGGACCATGGGGGGGGGGGGAAGGTTTTGTGCTGCCTCTTTAGTAGATAGGGTGGTGAGAGGAGAAGGGGAAGGGCTGCCACTGGGATATGAGGAACAACTGTGTATGGCCCATCCTCTTGCTCAGGGCAGGGCCTGCACATAAAACCCATGTCTGGTCTCTGGCCCATGTCCTCTTACCTCTTCCCATCGCTCACACTCCTTCTCTGGCTTGTCCATACTTCCCTGTGTGGATGGAGAGGGCACAGGGGACCCTGACACCTGGTGGAATGAAACCTTGGGTAGGAATCAACATTCCTATGTAGCATCTTCCAACCAGGTAGAGAACTTTCATTCAGGGCAGCTGCTGGCTGGCACTTTCCTGATACCAGTAGCCACTGCCCAACCAGGTTGACAGAGGCTGAAATACAGTTGGGAACCTGTCCAGAACAAAGTAGGGATCAGGACTGGGGACAGTCCTTCCAGGACTCCGTGATGCCTTTGTGGGATTTTCTTTAAAGCAATCGTGTCGGGCCCTGGTGGAATACCAGATCCTGTTGGCAGCGGTGGACTAGGCAGATCCTCAAGGACATCTCCTTGTACATCGAGAGTGGGCAGATAATGTGCATCCTAGGGAGCTCAGGTAAGTTTGTAAGCAGTTCTCTATTCTCAGTAAGGGCTTGGACAAAGGCTTTGACTTGATTTAAGTGCCACATTGGAGAAATTTGTGTATGGTGTATGGTAGTAGGGATCAAAATCAGGGCCTCATGCATGCTAAGCAAAAGCTCTATTGAGCTACATCCCCAGCCCTGCAGGTTAATTTGTATTTCCAAGTATAGAAAGAGCCCTGGAACAGTGGCTAGCACATATAGTCACACAGTGAACAATTTCCTAATTTCCTCCTCCCCAAAGATTGGCAAAAATAAAAGCCCTCTTAAATTGCATATTTGATTTACTGTTACTGTTTTTATTCATACGTATAATCAAGAAGAGAGAGAATAAGCCAGGTGTAATAGCTCATAGTTACCTGGGAGGCAAGGTATGGGAAGATCACAGTAGAAGGTCAGAATGGGCAAAAAATTTGTGAGACTTCCCCGCCCCCCCATCATCTCAACTAACAGAAAAATGAGTGTGCTGGTTCACTTTATCATCTCATCTCAAAAGAAGGATCATAATGTGGGCTGGCCCCATTTACATGTTTAAATGTAAGACCTACTTTTAAAAAAGCACAAAAAGAGGCTGGGGTGTGATTTAATTACTAATCAGGCCTTATCAAGTCTTCATATATTTGCTTCAGATCTTTTTATTTTCAAGCATTCCAGATTACAATTAGGTCATGATGTGCCTATTCCTCCTGCCATCTGCTCCTCTTTTCCAGGAGTCACCATATTTGAGTCTGAATTATATGTGTCTTTGCACCAGGCAATCATGGTGCCCCTGTGGTATTGTTACTTTTGGTGAAGCCGTTTCTTATGGGAGGACAATTTTCCTATGAGGGCCACAGCTGTGACTCCGCGGAGCTGCACCAACAATGCCAAGTGCTGGGGGATGGGCACACTGGTCCTGAAGAGGGGGTCCACCCTGGTGTCTTAAGATGAAGGATTCTGACAAACTGGCTTCACAGAAGCCTCGGTTGAGCAACTGCTTGTAAATAGTTGACAGCAGCTACCACTGTCCCCTTGCATTCATCTCTTAAGATCAGGATTATATGTCTGGAATGGAAATTAGGAATGCTACTGGTTAAAATATGAGCACCCTCTCTCCCGCTTCCCCACAGATTCTGTGCTGAAGGTTTGGTTCCCAGTATGGACATAGTAGATGTTGGAATCTTTGCAAGTAGGTTCTTGTGGAAGATGGTTAGACCATTGGAGGCACTGTTCTGGGAAGGGACTGATCTAGTTCTTGCAAGACTCCAGTTAGTTCCTACTAGGGCGAGTTGTTATAAAAAGAGCAAACCAGGTCCCTGAATCTCTTTGGGGTTCTTCTTACCTTACCATGCAATTTGTCCCTCTGACATGTCGTCTTGCTGTGATGCCATTTGTCATGGTTCGATGTGGCCAGAAAGCTGTCCCCAGTGCAATTGAGGCCACTCAATTTTGAACTTCCAAAAACGGTGTGCTAAACAGATCTCTTGTATGTCAAAGTGCCCTGGCTCAAGTATTTTGTTATAAGCAACAGAAAATGGACTATATCTCTTTGTTTCCAGAGAACAGAATCCATGACCACTCACCTACCACAGCAGGTACACAGCTAGTTGGCAACCGTAGTGTGTTAAGATGATGTGACAATGAATGCACTGCCTGCCTTAGTCCTTTTGGGCTTCTATAACAGAAGACAATACACTGGGTAGCTTCCGGACAAATGGATTTATTTCTAACAGTCCTCAAGGATGGGAAGTCTAGGATCAAGGAGCTGGAAAGTTTGTGTGTGATGAGAGCTGGTTTCCTCAGAAAAAGCCTGAGTTCTCTAAGTGAAAGAGGAAACCACTGAAAAAAATTACTGTTTTGATAGAGGTGATAAACAAGAGTCAGGTAATGCGACATTGCCTTTTGTATAGTGTCATCTGTTCCCTAATTCTCTCCATTCCCTCCTTCCCGCCCTCCCATCTCCACTGCTGCATTCTTTCACCCTTTTTCAAAACTTGAGTTCTGGGCCATCCCCCCACCCTCCCGAAGAGTATATATGAAAATACACCGTACATAAGGTAAAGAATACAGAATCATCAGAAAAAGAAAAAAAAAAGAGAAAAAATTAAGTCTTTTGTTAAGAGTTCATTTCAGTACATATTATTTTATATAAATATGAAGCGGTGCGTGGGCATTGCCCCTTTGTGATTCTCTCCTAAGGCTACCCTCTTTTGGTCTCACTGTATGTGACTAGAATCCTGTGTAATTTGTCATATCTCAGGGCATTTTAGATCTAATTTCTACATATCAGAGAGACATGCGCCCTTTGTCTCTCTGATCTTGGCGTACCTCACTTAACATGATTTGTTCTAGTTCTATCCATTTTTCCTGTGAATGATATTATTTTATTCCTTCTAAAGGCTGTTTAAAAGTCCATTGTGCATAGATACCACATGTTTTGGATCCACTTGCCTATTGTGGGGCATCTGACTGTTTCCTTATCTTGGCTATTGTGAATAGTGTGGCAATGAACATGGATGTGCAGGTGTCCTTATCATATCTTGGTTCATGATGCTCAGGGTAGATGCCTAGGAGTGGTATGGCTGAGTCATAAGGAAGTTCTATGTTTAGGTTTTTGAGGAACCTCCAGACTGCTTTCCAGAGTGGTTGTACTAGTTTACATTCCCTCCAGCCATGCAGTAGAGTTCCTTTTTCCCCACGTCCCCACCAGTATTTGGTGTTCAAATTCAAAATGTTGCCCAGTCTAACTAGGGTGAGATGGAATCTCAGAGTTGGGAAACCTCTTTTATAAAGGTACTAATCCTAACTGTGAGAGCTGGGTTCTACATGTTACACCTTTAATTCCACCTACTCCCTAGTCCCATCACCTGGGAAGTAAAGAATTCAACATATGAATTTTAAGGGGACATAAACATTATTATCCTATCACTAAATAAGATATACACTTTTCTGAAGTTTCCTGTCAGTCCTTTTGTTTCCATTTTGTTTATTTGAGTGTTACTGTGTGTGTGTGTGTGTGTGTTTTGTGTGTGTGTGTGTGTGTGTGTGTGTGTGTGTGTTGGTACTGGGGCTTGAACTCAGAGTCTGGTTGCTGTCCCTTAGCTTTTTTCCTCAAGGCTAGCACTCTATCACTTGAACCACACCTCCATTTCTGGCTTTTTGGTGGGTAATTGAAGAGTCTCATGGATTTTTCTTCCTGGGATGGCTTTGAACTATAATCCTCAGATTTCAGCCTCTTGAGTAGCTAGGATTACAGGTATGAGCCACTGATGACCAGCTCTTATTTTCATTTTAAGAAACAATTTCTAAGTATATACATGTACCATAACATTCAAGGTTGTTTTAATTTTCCTTTTTTTGGGGGGGGGGGCGGTTGTGGGGCCTGAACTCTGGGCCTGGGCGCTGTCCCTCAGCTCTTCAGCTCAAGGCTAGCGCTCTACCACTTGAGCCCCAGTGTCACTTCCGGCTTTTTTCTTTTTTCTTATGTGGTGTTGAGGAATTGAACCCAGGGCCTCAGGCATGCAAGGCAAGCGCTCTACCACTGAGCCACCTTCCCAGCCCTAATTTTCCTTTTGATAACAGAATATGCTCTTTAAAAATATGCTCTTTTGATAACAGAATATGCTCTTTAAAAATTAAAAAGTTGAGTTACCCCTATAGTGCTTTTTATTTGTGCTCCTTATGTGGAATTAGGAAGGGTAGATATAGCGCCCTCTTCAGAAGTTCACCCCACAGCTACATCATGCTTTCTCATAGAGGGTAAACAGTGAGTAAGGCTCTTGGTCTGGGGGTATGGGCTAGTTTGTTATGCTATACCTAATCATGGCTTTCTGATA